ATCCTGCAGATGTGGTTAACATCTGAAATCAGCTGACTTTACATAAAGGACACTATAGGTGGGCCTTGTCAAAAAAGGCCTTAAGAGCTAAACCTGAGTTTTCCCACAGAAGAAATTCTGCCTTAAGACTGACTACAGCATCAACTCCAGCCTACGGACCTGCCCTCCAATTTCAACTTACCAGCCCCCACAATTGTGTGAGCCAATTCTTAAAATCAACCACCAACCTCTCCCTCTATATACATATAAAAGTATACATCTCTTTTCATCTATATACAGATATTACATATATATAATCTCCATATATAGACAGGAGCCCTGGCGGCACAGTGGGAAAAGCGTTTGACTACTAACCCAAAGGTCAGCGGTTCAAAACCACTAACGGCTCCGCTAGAGAAAGACGTAGCAGACCGCTTCTGTAAAGATTACAGCCCTTGGAAATCCTATGGGGCAGTTCTACTCTGTTCTGTAACTGTGAGTCGGAATCAACAGCAATGTTTTTATGTGTGTGTTAAAAAGCAAAGACGTCACCTTGAAGACTAAGGTGCGCCCGACCCAAGCCGTGGTGTTTTCAATCGCCTCGTGTGCATGTGAAAGCCGGACAATGAATAAGGAAGACCGAAGAAGAACTGACACCTTTGAACTGTGGTGCTGGCAAAGAATATTGAATATACCATGGACTGCCGGAAGAATGAACAAATCTGTCTTGGAAGAAGTACAACCAGAACGCTCCTTAGAAGCAAGGATGGCGAGACTACGCCTCACATACTTCGGACATGTTATCAGGAGGGATCAGTCCAGAGAAGGACATCATGCTTAGTAAAGTAGAGGGTCAGCGAAAAAGAGGAAGACCCTCAACGAGATGGACTGACAGTGGTTGCAACAATGGGCTCAAGTATAACAATGACTGTGAGGATGGTGCAAGGCCGGGCACTGTTTTGTTCTGTTGTACAGAGGGTTGCTACGCGTCAGAACCGAACCGACTCAACAGCACCTAACTCTGTGTGTGTGTGTGTGTGTGTGTGTGTGTGTGTGTGTGTGTGTGTCCTATTGGTTCTATTTCTTTTGGGACAACCCTGCTTAAGTTTCTCTGACTGATCCTTTGCTGGAAACAACCCACTAATAAGGTCTATTTAATGTCCCAAAATGTCAGGACACACTGGGGGGAAAACACTGATCTAGGTGGAATATCTCAGTTTTCTCGAATGTAAAACAGCACTAGTGTACTCAAACAAAGATTTGTCACAAGAATAAAATTACAAATACGGCTTTGGCAGCATTCTGTAAGCTACAAAGCTAATTCAAATGAAAGGTATAACAACTATCATCATCCTTAATCAAAGTTTAGAGACTATGTCCTTATTGGGCCACAGTGAAGCAAAGCAGAGGCTCCCCAATGCGCCAGTTCCTATAAAACGGTTCCCACCCCCATTTCTAATCTTCTTTATATCATACACCCCCAGGAGTCATACGGCCGCTGTATGAGTACATTAACATTCAGACTTAAGTGAGCCACCAGGCTTATTTTTTGTCAATGGTGACTAATGCACACTTTGGAGTTTGAAGCACTAAACCTCAAAGTCATCACAACGGTTCAATAATTTATTTTTAGATTTCTGCAAAGGCTTGCCTTAATTTGACAACAGCGCATTTATTTCTTCAAGCTTTGTTGAAAATACTAAGATGGGAGCATCTTACTAAGAAATGGAAGTGATAAGCAAAATGACTTAGATAAAAAGATTGGAAAGCAGATAGACTGGTCTGCAGAACACTACGAGGATCGGATGAACAGAAGACCTGTTTTCTCTAGCTGACTCGACCTTACGAGGTGGCCCTGATGTCATTTCATTTATGTGTACCTCACTATCCTACTCACCTGTATCATCAGCTATTGTGCAAGGTGAGAACGACGGCTTCAAATCACCACAAAACTATAGCCATGAGCATATTTTGTCATTAAGGTTCACCAGTTTCAAACTGTTCTAACCAGTTTAAAAACCATTTATGTCTCCATTATCCTAACTTTAAACTCCATTTACGAATATAAATCCAATCTCTTATACTTTCACGAGTGTTTCTCAATTTTTCTTTTTTTAAAACACAATAAAGGTAACAAAGCACAATCACACTACAAAGTGCATACGCTCCCAAGTTCTGAAGCCTGAGACTCAAAAGCTGCAGGGACTCCAGAAAGCAGACGGTAACTTAGACCATCTCTTCTAATTAATACCCAGTACACTGTTTCAGTTCTGACCTCTCTCCCCAGAGTTTCTTAAATTTCCAACTGCTTCTTGGGTATCAAGCTACTACCTCCTAACAAATTCACCCTCAACTGCTCCTTTTGGCTCAAACCTATCTTAACATTCTTTTATGCTGGGAAAGGCGTCATTTATCTAAGCTATTCCAAATTTAACACACTCGATTTTTCAACATTTTGGGTTCCCATATCCCACTGCTGACAAATCCCATCAACGACTTCCACCTCCATCCCCTCCTTTAAGTTTCTGCCAGCACCGCCTTCTCCTAATTCCAGCCTCCTAATAAATCTCCGTCTCCATCACCAATCCTCCCATCACACTGCCTCTCAAGTTATTTTTCCAGAAATACGGGTAAGCTCATGCTTCTCCCGTTCACAAAAACCTTTCAAAGATTCAGTCAACCTAAAAAGAAGTCAGGGCCACCCTATGTAAAATAGCAACCACCCGGCCGCCCCCCGCATCATGCTTTATTTTTAGCCCCAGAACTTATGACCTCCCAGATATTCTGCCTCCTGCCCCTGGAATGGGCAGCTCAGGAGAGTGGGGACATTACTTGCTGTCTGGTTTGTTCTCTGCTATAGCCCTGGCACCTGGAACAGGTGTAAAAGGAAGCACTCAAATATTTGATAAATGAATTTAGCAAAGCATTCTGGACCCTCTGTCAGCAGGCACTAAACTTCCTTTCCAGCTTTATCTCACACAACTGCTTCCATCTCTGAAATGCCCTTGCCCAATACTTTGTCATTCTTTGTCTAATTCTTCAAGGCCTGGTTTAGAAGCCACCTCCTCTTTGAAGCCTTCTGTAAACATGTCAGAATTAATGACCTCCCACCTGGGCTCACAGATCACATCACTTGTATCTTTTAACACTCAGCTCTTTCTGCAGCTTTACAACACCCCTAGTCTAGGACATCCAGAGGGCAGAAACTGATTTAATTTTGTAGCCCCAGGACCTAGCCCTATATATATGTATATATATACATACACACACACACACACACACACACACACATATATACATACATACACATATATATGTGTGTGTATTAAAGACAGCTGCCGAGGAGTCATTTCTGACTCATGGTGACCTCATGTGTATCCGAGTAGAACTGCTCCATACAGTTTTCAAGACAGATTGGAAGGAGATCACCAGGCCTTACTTCCAAGGTGTCTCTGCATGGGTTCAAACTGCCAACCTTTCAGTTTGTAGTCGAGGGCTTAACCAATCGCACCACCCAGAGACAAACACTGCTTAACAAAAACTAGGCAAACCTCAGCGTGTGGGCGTCCTAAGCTTTTTTCTCAATGTAAAAAAGCCTCTGTGATAAAGGGCATTTCGTGCCTAGCCTAATGTCTGGCACTTACTAACAACTCAGTAAATATTCAGTAAGTTGAGCTGGATATTGGGATTTTCGCCTTTTGAAAAGGGTAATCCTGGATTTCAGGCGAAGCCTCAGCACTTTACCATACTGTAAGTTAGATCAGACCCTTTCCTCTGAGCAGGTTTTCATACTATGGGAGGGGACAGACTGAGGGTACTGGGCAGGGCCAGGGATGGTGGCAGTGGTGGCTAAGAAGGGGAAACTCCCACTGCCTAGCTACGAGGAGAAATAAAAACAGGTTTTCTATCCCAAACCACGGGAACCCAGAGCATTACAAACAGGAAACCCCAGACTGGGGGACACAGCAAACTTGCGGTTCATCTGATTTTTAGTTCCCTGAAGGGTTTCACATGCCTGAAATCTTCAATCCTGGGGCCTTAACTCACAACCAATTTAAAGGCAAGAAATCGAAAGCCAGAGTCGATTTGAAGTCTGTTCTTTATGTCTAAACGTCTCCCTCAGGGCTCAGGCTAATCTCTAAAGAAAAGATGTTCTATGTGAACCCTGTAAAAAGCTTCAAGAATTCTGACTGAATCAAGATCAAATTAGGACTCGTTTTGTGTTTCGGTTACCGTCGATTCCGACCCACGGCAGCCCCATGTGTGCAGAGTTAGAACTGCTCCATAGGATTTTCAAGGCTGTGATCCTTCGAAGGTAGATCGCCAGGCCTGTCTCTGGGTGGGTGCAAACTGCCAACCTTTGGGCTAGCAGTTGAGACCTCACTTAGCTGAGAGAAACGGATCTCTGAGTGAGGCCCAGAGCCAAGCCCCCTCAGTCCTGCTGCCTTTCGTTCAGCCAGCCACTTAAGGTATAAACAATGGAATTACTAGGCTTTCCTCAATTTTGCCCCAATTGTTACATGAACAAAAATTTATGAAAAAGGCCACGAGTCCATGGACAACCTACAATCCCCTCCAGACCACCAGCAATCTCCACACTGCCCTTTAGGAACCATGATCTTAACACTACTGCAGTTTTGCTAAGTCTGAACGAATGTACAAACTCATTACGTTCAGCAGACATGCTTGTATCACTGACATTGGCTTGTGAGGGTGATAAAATAGTCCTATTTTACTTTAAAAAAAAAAGTAAATTTGCCTACATCGAAGCTCCAGTTACATGAGTTTCAGAATTGTGAGCAAGTAGGAAAGCTGAGGACGGTGCTCTGGGTGACTGCAGACTCCACTACCACACCCCAGCAGTTCTGCAAAGCAGGAGGCTTTCATCAGCTCCCTCAGGCAGCCCCAACACTTGAAGTTTCCGATTATTGTAGAACTCGGCTGCTCTGGCTTCTCCGGGCACTGGGAACCCCATGTCCAACTGACCAGTTCTGGAAGACAGGTGCCATGTCATCTCTCACCTTTGAGCCCCTCGGAGCCTTCCATTTAGCATGCAATAGACAAATGTCGGCTGTGTTTAATTTCAGCTTTTCTCAGCAATGCAAAATATTCAATCATGTAAAACAGGATGATCTCAGGGTTCAGTGAAATGGATTAAGTGGGTTTTTTGGTAGTAAAAATCATGCAGGAAATTGAAGACCTGAATAAAGTGAACATCAGAGTTTAGAGCTGCCAGTCAGCTGGTAGACATCACTTGGAGATGAGTTACTTCTTTCCCAGGAAACAGGCGAATGGCACACGCTAACCATTCAATGGTTGTCACCAACAGTGGCCCATACGAGAAGGAAGCCAACGAGGGGCCTGAATGGAATGAAGCCCTCTCAGGATGTCTAACCCCAAACTGGCCCGTTTACAGCAGCTTCGAGTCAGTTTCAAAGGCGTCCTAATCAGATGTCCTCAGCCCTCTCCCTAACTAAACCCTAAACTTAGGGTTTCCCAGGTCTCCCCAAGTGGCTTGGGGCTGGGCACTCAGCTCAGAGACTATACTCCTGGGTAAGTTACCTTTATAAGCAAAGATAAGCAGTATGAATGGGCTCCAAGGCAACCATATGACCTGGAGAGTTAGCATAACTTCCAGGAAGATGGACTGTTAAGTCATCAAGGAATTCCTACCAGCAATGACAGCAGGGGTGTTTGCAGACACGTTTATCTGTGCCCATTCTCATGCTACAAGTGGACCATTCCGGCACCATACCAAAACTTCTTTTCAATACAGTAATTTATACTCCGAGAAAGTTGTTATTTAGGAAGAAAAATGCAAGCATGCAAGCACACCCATCAAGAGTGGCTCCCAGAGCATCTACAGCATTAAGAGCACCAAACTAAAATGATCAAAAATGCTTTACATACGGTAAGAACTCAAGTACCTGCCAGCTTGGTACTACTCAGCACCCAAAAGGTAAACTCTATAGACATTTTTTGGAGCCCTGGTGGAGCAATGGTTAAGCCTTCCGCAGCTAACTGAAAGGTCAGTGTCTGGAATCCACCAGCCACTCCGAGGGAGAAAAGACCTGGCAATGTGCTCCCGATAAAGATTTCAGACTAAGAAACCCTATGAGGCAGTGTTACTCTGTCACATGGGGTTGCTATGAGTTGGAATCCACTCAACAGCACACAATAACAACAGACTTTTTTTGTCCTGTAAGTTATAAGTTTAATATCTTTTCCATTAGAAATTGATTGAGATGCCCTCATATTCACAGCATTTGTAAGCTAGAGGTGACAGATGTTTTAAAAGCTGGCATCTTTTCTAAAGTAATGAAGAAGTTAAATGAATTAAGCACTCATAACAGTGACTTATATAGTGCTTACTGCGTGCACTGCATGTATTAACTCATTGATCCTTACTATAACCCAGGAGGTAAGTTCTCTTATTATTACCATTTTACAGTCACGTTAACCCAGGCAAGACAGGTCAAGTAACTTGCTTAGTGGTGACAAAATCTGTGCCTGTGGTTCCCAAACTTTGCTGCACATTGAAATCACCTGGTGATCTTTAAAACTTTAAAACATCACTTATGTGGAACGGGAAGCGATTGGGGCGTCAGGGTTGCTAATGGTTCCCAGGTGACTCTAACGTGCAGCAAAGCTTGGAAACCACCGGTCTGTGCTCTTAACCCACCAAGTCTTATGAGTACTGCTGTAGCTCTGCTGTTTTTCTTGGCCAAGAAGTTTCTTCAATGAAGCGTTAAACCCAGGTTAAAGGCAGAAGGGAAAGCAAAAATCAAAGAGGCGATGAGCCTTGCCAAGGGTTTCACCAGAGAGCCCAGCGTGAGCGTCCAGAGAGGGCGTGGGGCGCTCGGCCCTGGGCAGGAAGGATGCAGGGCAGGGCGCACCTTCGGCCTCCAGAGGAGCGATAGGCTCAGCTCCAGGGGTGTCGGGGCGGGGGAAGGGGGAGTCAGCTCCAGGGGTGT